CCCCCCCCCCCTATCGAATTTGCTTACATATTGTATTTACCGTTATGATTGTATAAAAGACCAAGAAATTTTGTCTCAATTGGACACCGTTACACCAATTTTCGATTTCTATCAATCTACCAACGCTCCAGAATTAAGAATAGATTAGAGGAGTCGAAAGCTTCAAAGTAATAAATAGATCTTACTCATTCATAACAAAAAATAGCCTTTCGCAGGCCTTCTTAATTTCAGCTATAAAAAAAACCGGTGTAAAAAATACATTCATGTAAGAAGAAATAAATTTACAATTTTGAAATCAATTCACGAACAGTTATCTTCTTTGAAAGGCAAATCTGTCTCATATATTGTTGTTTCCTAGTTTTAATTTAGTTATAAGAAGTTTTGCATCTCGATACGAACGTGTGTGTTTATTTGTTAATATATCAGATGTATTTTGCTCTTATAAATGACTGTGAGTACTGATGAGTCTTTGACCAAAGCAATTATTGAACTTGAACTTGATAAACCACTACTCAATATCGTTTACCTATGTGTGATAACTGTTTCCAACACATTTGTATGCAGCGATCTTACCAGTGATGGTATTTCACCTGCTCATCTCACTGATCAGCTTATAACTCCCTCATTGGTCTGTTAACAGAGTCGTACCCTGTATAACACATACTCTACACAATAACAATAAAGACGTTTACTTATTACATCTAATGTTGATAGAATCAGGACACGTAGTTATGTTCTCCATCAAATCGCACCTGTTGAAAAAGAGGTAGGCAGTTTCTTCACTAACTATAATACGAATGTAATTCCCTTGTAGTTATTTGGATGAACTGCATCGCCTTCTTTTACTACCAATGGACCACAATAATGGTAAAAACCAAGTCTGATAATATCATTATAAAGTACATTGATACAAGTTGCAATGAATTATTTAATATGAATGAATTATTCATAGGATGTATTGTCAATTCCACTGGCCTTATTCGATTTAAGATGACGAATTGCTTTCTCTATTTTACTAGATATCTACAATATCTGCGGCAGGTTCTTCGAAAAGATGAGCGTTTTCATGAAATTTGTCGGAAGTAAGTTAAACCATTGATGTTGTGTGCAGGGTTTTGCAATCTGCCACAGAAAACCGGGCTATCCTATAGGTCTCTAAGTTATCCAAGATTACCGAAATACCGTTGGTCACCAGGCGTCTCTAGGTCATTACGTCACAAGGTAGCCACGACTAATAGAGGGGCGACATGGAATCTGACGCAGACACAATGCATAGCGAAGTACTAGTAATTATATTATCATAATTCCAAATTTGTATAGAAATCATGTTTCTGAAGCACACGGAATATAACAGGAATGTAACCACACCATATCTGCTGTACACATTTTTAGCCCGCAACAGGTTTGATATATCTAGAATTACAATTTCTCCATAGAATTACTTGCTTAAAGATAGTGTGTGATGTAAAGGTGGGGATGTGATTACCTGGAAAATCTTACCTGCTTCTGAAGGACCTCGTTTCTCTAGTATGAATGGTTTCCTGAGTTGCCTTAGCCTTGAAAAGTCGATTTTCATACCATATACGCATGCGCACGATAGAACGAACAGAAGTACAGCTATCTCCTGCCGTCCAACCCCTCGCATCTGGAACAATAAAACATGATATTGTATTAAAAGTGTAACTGTATTAGAAATAAAACCGAATATGTGTAATATGATGACGAGCATTTCAGGAGAAAGATGTACATTATATATATAGACTAGATAGTATGACCGTGTATGTTGTTCAAAGAAAGGACAGTAACTACAGAACGACGACGTACAGAGACATGACATTAACTACAGAACGACGGCGTACAGATACATGACATTAACTACAGAACGACGGCGTACAGAGACATGACAGTAATTACAGAACGACGGCGTACAGAGACAGGACAGAAACTACAGAACGACGCGTACAGAGACATGACAGTAACTAGAGAACGATAGCGTACAGAGACAGGACAAAAACTACAGAACGACGGCGTACAGAGACATGACAGGAACTACAGAACGACGCGTACAGAGACGGGCCAGTAACTACAGAACGATGGCGTACAGAGACGGGACAGTAACTCCAGAACGACGGCGTACAGAGACAGGACAGTAACTACATAATGACGGGGTACAGAGACATGACAGTAACTACAGAACGACGGCGTACAGATACATGACATTAACTACAGAACGACGGCGTACAGAGACTGGACAGTAACTACAGAACGACGGCGTACAGAGACATGACAGTAAATAAAGAACGACGCGTACAGAGACGGGACAGTAACTACAGAGAGACAGGACAGTAACTACAGAACGACGCGGACAGAGACATGACAGTAACTAGAGAACGATAGCGTACAGAGACAGGACAAAAACTACAGAACGACGGCGTACAGAGACAGGACTGTAACTACAGAACGACGGCGTACAGAGACAGGACAAAAACTACAAAACGACGGCGTACAGACACAGGACAGTAATTACAGAACGACGGCGTACAGAGACAGGACAAAAACTACAAAACGACGGCGTACAGACACAGGACAGTAACTACAGAACGACGGCGTACAGACACAGGACAGTAACTCCAGAACGACGGCGTACAGAGACAGGACAGTAACTACATAATGACGGGGTACAGAGACATGACAGTAACTACAGAACGACGCGGACAGAGACATGACAGTAACTAGAGAACGATAGCGTACAGAGACAGGACAAAAACTACAGAACGACGCGTACAGAGACATGCCAGTAACTACAGAACGACGCGTACAGAGAAGGGACAGTAACTACAGAACGACGACGTACAGGGACGGGACAGTAACTACAGAACGATGGCGTACAGAGACAGGAAAAAAACTACAGAACGACGGCGTACAGAGACATGACAGTAATTACAGAACGACGGCGGACAGAGACAGGACAAAAACTACAGAACGACGACGTACAGAGACAGGACAGTAACTACATAACGACGGCGTACAGAGACAGGACAGTAACTACAAAACGACGGCGTACAGAGACGGGACAGTAACTACAGAAATATAGACTAGATAGTATGACCGTGTATGTTGTTCAAAGAAAGGACAGTAACTACAGAACGACGACGTACAGAGACGGGACAGTAACTACAGAAATATAGACTAGATAGTATGACCGTGTATGTTGTTCAAAGAAAGGACAGTAACTACAGAACGACGACGTACAGAGACATGACAGTAACTACAGAACGATGGCGTACAGAGACAGGACAAAAACTACAGAACGACGACGTACAGAGACAGGACAAAAACTACAGAACGACGACGTACAGAGACAGGAGAGTAACTACAGAACGACGCGTACAGAGACATGCCAGTAACTACAGAACGACGCGTACAGAGACAGGACAGTAACTACAGAACGTCGGCGGACAGATACATGACATTAAATACAGAACGACGGCGTACAGAGACAGGACAGTAACTACATAATGACGGGGTACAGAGACATGACAGTAACTACAGAACGACGACGTACAGAGACAGGACAGTAACTACATAACGACGGCGTACAGAGACAGGACAGTAACTACATAATGACGGGGTACAGAGACATGACAGTAACTACAGAACGACGACGTACAGAGACATGACATTAACCACAGAACGACGGCGTACAGATACATGACATTAACTAAAGAACGACGGCGTACAGAGACGGGACAGTAACTACATAATGACGGTGTACAGAGACATGACAGTAACTACAGAACGACGCGTACAGAGACGGGACAGTAACTACAGAACGATGGCGTACAGAGACAGGACAAAAACTACAGAACGACGGCGTACAGAGACATGACAGTAACTACAGAACGACGACGTACAGAGACAGGACAGTAACTACAGAACGACGCGTACAGAGCCAGGACAGTAACTACAGAACGACGCGTACAGAGCCAGGACAGTAACTACAGAACGACGCGTACAGAGACAGGACAGTAACTACAGAACGATGGCGTACAGAGACGGGACAGTAACTACAGAACGACGGCGTACAGACACAGGACAGTAACTACAGAACGACGGCGCACAGAGACAGGACAGTAACTACAGAACGATGGCGGACAGAGACGGGACAGTAACTACAGAACGACGGCGCACAGAGACAGGACAGTAACTACAGAACGATGGCGGACAGAGACGGGACAGTAACTACAGAACGACGACGTACAGAGACATAACAGTAACTACAGAACGACGGCGTAGAGAGACCAATGTTAAATTACATTAGGACGTTGCTCTCTATTCGTACATCTTCTCAGTCGGTAGATATCCTATACTAACTGTAAGTTATTGAAATTCAAGCCTGACGGATTTATAGATATGAAATTCATATTTTTAAAAGGTAATGTGAATAAAGTATGTACACGGGAGAACAATTAAACACATTTAATGTGCCGAATTTGTAATTCAGATATTCTTATGACTGACACTTCACGGATTGTTATTTCTGCTGATTCTTGTAACGTAAGCTTAGCCAGGTCGTGTCCCTCGCGTGCTGTAATTAAGGTAGTGACAGCAGGTCACCAGTGATGCACGTCACTGTGCGCGTGCGTGTTGAGCTAGCCATACACTGTTTGTCACGAAGGCTTGAATTTCTAATTTCAATATTGTTTGAGTAAATCGTTATTATTGTAATAAAAAAGTACATTTCCCGCGCGCACCTACCCTTGGCCCGGCGTCAACGTCACTGTCCATTGGCGCAAGTGTTAATGACAACCTGATACACCAGAACAGCGGCAAAACACCAGATTGATTTTAAAATGTAATAAACACGTGGTTTGATGACGCAATTTACTGTCGATGAGTTTGATAAGTTTTTACTCGGCTTTTATGTTATCGCTATGTAGGCTAAAGTGTAAATCACACATGCTTTATTAATTAAAAAACTTGGAAATAAACAAATTCAATTAAGATAAAATCCACAATTTCATTAACAATTCACACACTTTTCCTTATAGCCGATGGCTGATCGACTCACGGGTGTCGAGTGTAACACGAACAACTATTAACGCGCCTGATGAAACGTTTTCGATCACATGATGCTCCTGACAGGAAACAGATACAGTCAGAGCTGTGTGATAACTCGCCGGCTTCCGCTCCGTATTAAATGATTTTCAATAAATATGTACAAATAAAGAGGTACTTCATACAGTCGTCACACGATATATTACCTGCGTGCGCACACTTTCACACGTACATTACTTCCTTGTTTGATAGCTATGCCAACTCTAGAATTGTTCTGATTTTGAAGTTTTCATATATTGATGTATTATTTATAAAATATAATGTAATGTTTCCTGTTCCTCATGTTATATTTTCTTTCCTCATTTTATCATTAACAATAAGTAGCAGTTATGAAGTAAAATAAGTTATATGTTAAAGGTAATAGGCGAACATTGTGTCCATCGCATGTCACATTGTGGTATATCCTGGATTGGGAATATTTCCCCTTTAACTATTCGTATTTCATCTGCTATTTCTTTTAATCATATCACTGATGTCGTATACGATCATATGGAGTAAACCTTTTATTGGGCACAAAGTAAGACTTGTATGTGATGAGATGTTCGTCGATGGTGTATTGTACACGGGCGAGACGAGTTCTCAAAGGATGGAATCACGTGTTCAGCCTGCTGCACCCATGAATGTAGAGGAAAGCAGGCCGAAGAGATCGCGCCAGCCGTCAACTCCCAACGGAACAGGAGCATCAACTTCCGGTTGTCCACCGTCACGTCAGGCTAGATACGTAATTTCTTAATATTTTTCAAGATTCAGATATTGTTTTTCTAAGTGAATGTTGGTTAAATAATTTGGATAATGTCAATGTTAAAGGTTTCGATTATTTTCCACCTTTCAAGAGAAGTAAATGTAAAGGGGGTGGCATGATATGTTTATTTAAATCATGGCTGACAGAGCATATAACGCTTAAAGAGGTAGTATCTGATAGTATTTTGTGGATAAAGCTAGATGGCAAGCCCTTTTTTGACAATATCGATACATATCTCTGTTTTGTATATCTTCCACCAGAAAGGGCAACATTCTATGACAGTTATGATGTCAATATGTTTGATGTATTGGAAATTGGAATTGCCAAATTCAGCTGTATGGGTCATGTATTTATCACGGGTGATCTCAACAGTAGAACTGGTAGAGAGCCTGACTTTATTCCATTTGATGTTCTACATGATAGTTTACATCAGGTTATAGATAATGTGATACCCTATGAAGATGAAGTTGATGAAAGTGTTCGTAATTCTGAAGATGTTTTTGTTAACCAATTTGGGCGTCGTCTTTTGCAAATGTGTAAGACTACTGGTTTTCGAATATTAAATGGTCGGACGACTGGTGATATCGAAGGTAAATTTACGTTTTATAATGCCTTAGGTACAAGTACAATTGATTATGTACTGGCTCATAGCCATCATTTGGACCAGGTTCAATATTGTAATGTTGGGGATTTTAATGAATATTCTGACCACGCGCCATTGTTTTCCACCTTAAAAGCAGACACTCATATTTGTAATTGTTGTGACTTCAGTAATACGTTTAGTA